GCTACACAAACAGACCACAAGAGCCCTGAAAAAAAAGTCTGCTTTCAAATACAGTGAAATCAAGTCTCATACTATAGCTATTTCTTTGCCTCTGCTTTCATTAGTATTATTTTCCCTCTGTCTCACATATTTTTAATTAGATTAAATAGCCAATGCTAAAATGCTTTAAAAGTTTCTCGTGTGTTTACCACATACCAAGAAACAGATTTTTTTTCCTTTTGTGTTTAATGGCATACTCTATATAAATACACAGTTCTAAGAGGGATATTAAATGGAATCTATACTGTTACGTATGAAAGCAATCACAGTCTAAACTAATGCCAAGGAGTAATTACAGCCTAATTTACTTGGCTTGTTTGGCATGTCATAAATGTTTTTACAATGGTTCTTAGCAGAGCAAGAGTCAGAAAACAAATTTCTGCAAGTTGTGGAGAAAATACTACAGCCTGTTAAGGACTTCCTCAAACTAGTTCTATATTCTACCATCTGCAGTGTTCAGAAGACATTCCTCTGAGCTGTAAGTAGTATTTGTCTGTTGGACAAAATTCTTTATCTAATACTTAAATTACATGTCAACATACACCACAGTATATGAAAGTAGTTAAAAAATGCTGTTCTCTGAGGAGTTAACTTTTCCAACGTGAATACTAAAGCCATTAGAGATTATACAGGATGCATTAATTTGTTTCCTAGGGATGTAGTGTTAAACAAAGGACCAGTGCAAGCTCTGTGAAATGTTCTTCTGTGAAACAAAAACCTGTGTCACATAAAAAAAGGACAGTAACTTGTCCCTCTAATTGATGCTTATGAAGGACAAATTCAACATATGCTTACTTTTTGAGATGCAACTTGCTCAAGAAAGCTAGATTTTTTTAAATCTGTGAGACTGAAAAGAGCGTAAAGGAAAAGGATATTTCCAGCAGTCACACTGTTTGATGAAGAAGAGCTACAGGTAATTTTGTTGCCATGGAACAAAGTGTGAATTGCACAGGACACAAGGAAGAAAGTTGAAGTGTATGCTGCAAACTTCTTCACTAATGGGTTTTTTCTGCAGACCTTAGACAATGGGGTTTCTTTTCATGAAGCACTAGCCCTGGAGGCACTCTCAGGAGACATTAATAAGACAATATTGTTGGGTACCACATACTGCTACACACAATGGCTGAGAGGATTTTCATTAAAGGCAGATATTGTCATCCTACTTTAATTTCATTAAAGGCAGACACTTTGCATAACTTGCCCAGAAAAGAAAGACCTTTCTTTTTTCACCATTTTCAGCCATTTTTCTGTGTCCCAGAGGACTTCTAACTAAACAGAAGAAAAGGTTGGAAATGAGTGTGACAGCAAAATAGTAATTGTACAGAGTATAAATACAGAAGCTAAGAAGCTATCCAAAGATAAAAACTTGGCACACATTAATTTTGGAATAGAATTTCTTCTGTCCTGATAGTTCCTTATACCAATTCAAGCATGAATCAAATAACAGCAGTATTTATCAGTTGGTGACAACTGAAACCAATAGTTATGATGCATTGATTTTAACAAACATTTTCATTGCATAGCATACTGTGTCCCCAAACCTTACAGCTGGCAGGGACATTTTAAGGGCATCTAATTTAAACAATTCTGGAAGAAATCCTCTTGGGACACTACATTTATATGTCAGTGATATTGATATGTGTATATTTTGGCATAAAATAATTACCTTTTCTTTAAAATCCAATAATTCCTACAAAAAAAATGTGATCTGTAAAATTATATATTTTTTTGTGATCATTAGAGAATCTTTAGTAAGTTGATTGCTTCACTTTTGCATTAAATATTTATGTTAGATCAAGAAGAGTTCCCCTATTTTTCATCTTTATGATCCTAGAAATTTTATCAAGTGTTTTTAAGATTGTTACTTTGCCAAAGTGATGGCAAAACAATAAAAAGGGATGGATAAGTGTAAATTGCATTTTCTCCTTAAATTTAGTGTGATTCAGTTTTGCCCTGGGTATATCCATTTGAGAATACCATATAGTCTTAAAACCACAGATCAAGAGCCAAGAGAAAACAAACTTGAAATTAGTGATGTCCATCATCTACTATGAAAATCAACAGTGTACCTCAATGTGTAAGATTTCATGCTTCAGTTTTATGCTTAAATTAGAATTTAATTATTCAAAAGTGCTAAGATTCTTCAATTCTGTGGCCAAGTTCCCAAGCAATTTCAAGGATTATTTAAACAAATCGAGCTCCTGATTTTGAGACTTGCCCATGAGAAAAAAAAAAAAAAAGGCTATTTTCAATTTGAAATCAGTATATGGTATACTTTCCATTCAGGATGCAGTAAAATCTGCCACTACACAATAATTACAGACCTCTGGATAAAGACAAAGAAAGAAAAGGTTTTAATTTGATTAGCCTCCAACTGTATTCATTAAACTCATCTGGGAACTATCCAGCAATAATTCTTCCAATGAAGGTCATAATTCTTCTTTAATTGTTTCCACCTGGTACAGCAGTGTCATCAATCCCCCGTTCTCCACCTTTCTGTACTTGGCTCCCAGCCCATCACTCATGCCCTCCCAGTCTTCCCTTGCACTATCATTAAGGAGCAAGGGAAAAGAGGCTTAGGTTATTTTTTTTTGTGACAGATCACAGAACCTCCAGCTTGGTTTCCTCCTTTGCTGGATGATTTCCCTGTGTTCAGTCCCTATTTCACCTCCTAAGAACTAATTCCTGCCCTTTTTCTGCTGTATTCAGACACACTGAGCTTTTCCTTATAACCTGTCCCACACCCAGGATTCTACAAAGTTGACTTTTCTAACTCTTTCTCTTTTCTGCCCCTTTTATAGTCCTCCCTTAAAATCATCCCCTGATACTCCTTCAAAAAATCCCAAACAGTTAATAAAAATCCTTTAGCAGACAAAAATCTTCACTAGCAAATTAATTTACAAAGAAAACACTTAAGGATCACTAATTCAGGCATTCAAAGACACTCATTCTACAAAGTCAAAATCCCTATACTCAGGCAAATTCCATTGCTTAGCACCCTAACCCAAGGCATGCCTTGTTATGTTCCTAGGCATCCTGAGGAGAAAAGGCAAACTGCAGGACCCTAAAGAAATTAACCTCAACAAAGGTGACCTCTTACTTCCCTTCCTAGCACATTGATTTTATATTTGCAGTGACTTCATTTGGGGAGTCAGACTGTATACATGAAATCCAGAAGCATTCTGTTACTGCTCATTTTTCTCTGAGAGACTTTTATCATATTTCCTCATTGGAATAATCATGAAAGGAATTTTGATTCTGGAACATAAACGCAGTCAGCACACTAGCAACCATACACACTTTATAGTAAACATGTGGTGTTAGGCAGTAAGCAGTAAACATTTTTGAAGAAAACTTAATTTGTTTTCAATCAGATGAGATAAGAGTGATTATTAATGGAGGTGAATATATTTATCCAGGAACACAGGCTTGCCTAGACAGGAAATTTTGTATTAGTGGAACAGAATTTCTCAGTTTATTGATTTATGTCTAAACTAAATGAGAATATGTTCTATTGCTCTTGAGGTGGATGACATGAGATTGAAGTAGGTATTTTAATATCCTGTTTAATGTCAAGTTAGAAAATTAGGTTCCTCCTCAACCTTTGAGTTTTAGTCATAAAAGACTGATGGTTCAGGACCTCCCAGTGTTTCACCATATACCATCTATTCAAATGGAATGGGCTGACAACCCTAGGCTGTTAAAATCCTTAGCTGTTTATGGGAAAAATATTTCCTGTCCATTGGATTGTGAAGTTAGCTCAATAATTTTGAATTAATAAATGTAAAGCTATTTGTACATGTTTTTTAGATATGCTAAAGAAAGTGAAAGCCTGGGTAGCATTGCTAATAAGGTTTATCTGGTAAAATGGATTATATAAAAAGAAAACACATACGGGAGAAAAGAGTCCTATCAGAAAAGACAACAAAATTGAACAGGGAGCTTCATGTTTTGGGACAAATACATTGAATACATTTTTCCCTTGCACTTACACTATTGCTGAAGAGACAATGCTTATCTAGTCACATGAAAAGCCCTTCTTCTCTACCTATAATCCTGAAGATAAAAAGGATCCTATCACACATTTACAAAACAAAGATCTCACACTTCCTATTGCTTAAGCAAATGTGACACGCTATTACTTAAAAATAAAACAAAACAGATTATCTTCTTGCTTTTTTCTGAATCTTTTGCACAAGATTACCTGACAGGAAATTGGTTTAAGAGACTGAGCAATAATGATTCTGTAATTTTTTCTCCAACATTCATTGCCCTCTGGAAACCATACTGCAGATCATCCTCCTAAAGATACCTTTGATGTCCATGAGCCTCAGCAAAATGCTTCTATTAAAAGACTGCCTTTCAGTCCAATTTGTTTATTTCGGTTTGTTGTATATACACCCCATTATCAGCTCAGAGCAAGAAGATGAATGGACATAAATAATGGCACATTTGCAGTAAGAATTTTGTGGCAAAGACCTTTAGTGAGATATTGTGGTTTCAATGCAACCACAACACAATGACAAACTTCCTTTATAAATGACAGATCTAATCATAAAATTAAAATTATAGTTCCATGAAAAAAAGCCAAGTAGTGAATTAACAATATCTACTGTATGATGGCATGTGGCTGTATTTCCAACAAAACCATCCCTATTATTCATGAATTGATTTACTCTTTTTATCTTTCCATAACATGCAGTATTTATTTACCCTTACATTTTGAGGCATTACAGTTTCTGCTGACAGGGGTATTTTCTTAAAATAGAACATTACAGCCGTCCCCTGCTAGATGTTTAAGCCATGTGTATGTTTATTTTAAATTTTTTTTTTTTGAACTTTCTAACTGTGAGCAGGCTGGGAATGTAGAGTCATGACAAATGAGAGTTTGCTTTATAAAAAAAAAAAAAAAGAGAAATGTAGACATTTGATGTAACACTGAAAAATTCACAGCCTCCTACCTTAAAAACAAACATTTCCCGGCGAAGAATAGCCAGAGTGTTGAAGTTCCCATCACAGATGTTCGGCTTGGCTCCGGGGTAGGAAGGTTTGTCACCAGTGGGTGGCCGGGGAGGTTTTGGTTGCCTGTCATTCTTCCGTGGGTCTGCTGGAGGGACTGAACGATGTGGGGGCACTGTTGGCAGAGGTCTGGTTGGTGGTGGTATCCTGTCAGGTGGACCTTTAAAAATACAGCAGCTGGATGTAATATACAAACCCACTACAGGAAACAAACACAACCAAAGCAGCTGTAAGCTGTACAAACCCAACAGTGAAAGGGGCATGAAAAAGTGACCTGACATACCTTTCTGATGTTATTAAATCACTGAATCATAGAATCACAGAGTATGTTGAGTTGGAAGGGACCCATCAGAATGACTGAGTCCAGCTCTTGGCCCTGCCCAGGACACCCCAAGAGTCACACTGTGTGCCTGAGAGCATTGTCCATTGAACTCAGTCAGGCTGGCGCTGTGACCACTTCCCTGGGGAGCCTGTTCCAGTTACCAACCAGGCAGTGCTTATAAAGGGTATTAAGAATGACTACAAAACCAAGGAAAATAATTATTTTCATTATCTAAAATCTTCCTTTTTGGATAAACATTCTAATAAAACCTTCTGAGGATGCTTAGGCCACCATCGTTTCAGACGAGAAATAGTTCAAAGCAAATTATTTACCAATTGAGTTCTGATAACAGGACATTTTCTCTCGTACAAAAAAATGAAAAAAGATCTTGTTCCTTGTAAGATCATCATCAGTCAAAAGATTTTCAACGTATATTTTTAATATATAGTTTCATCAATTCACACATGCACATATGTAGCATACCTGCTACTTACTACTGACCAAATTTTTAGATCAAGTAATGTCATATTCATTAGAGACAGGACAATCCCAGCTTTTTCCAATGTCCTTTGGTATGTACAACAGCTCCTAAAACTGGACCTCAAGTTCTGGGCATGTATACAACACACACACCCCATCACCCCCCTGCCATCGTTGACATATTTTCTTCAAGTGAAAAACTAAAACTCTGTTAAGCAGTCTTAAAATATTTTTCTTCTTCCAAATGTCTTATTTGCCAAAATGTACTGAGTTTTATGAAATTACTATCCAACTTATAGTTTCTCTACCTGCACGTCATCAGGCCATCCCAGACAGATACTGATCATACCCTAAATGGCATACTGAATGACTTGAAATGAGTGTACTGAAAATGCCTGCCCCTCTCTACATATATCAGCAACATTTATTTTTCATGAACAAAAAGATAGGAAGCTTCACTTATAGCTTCATGTCTGGAAACAAGATGAATGTTTTAATTTTTGCTCACTCTATTTAGGCCTCTCTCCAAATAATTTAAATAGATAATACACTTTGACCTTAAAAAGAAATGCTGTTTCTTTTGACCACTTTCAGAAACACTTTTGAATATTAAGATAACTCTAAAATTGTACAAATGACATTTGAATTTCTGAGAATTTTATGAAAAACCACATACTTTATAAGAAAAAAAAACGATGGATTATGTACGGAAATCTTAAACTTGCCAAATGGTTGTCATATGATTTAATAAGGCATTTATTTCATTCACAATTTTAAGACTTGTGGCATTTATAATTTAAAGTTAATAACAGTATTTCAAGGAATACTGCAGACCAAAGTGATTATTTTAATAGGTGTGACATTTTTATTGAGACATATGATTCCAGATCACATCTTGATTTTAAAGGGAGCAAAGGAATCAGTTTGCAGTAGCTCATGTTGGAAAGTTTTTAACCCCAAATCAAAGTTTTTTTATGCCATTTGGTGGTGATGTCAGATATTACTTCCCAGGGGTAACACATTTTTCCTAATGTATAGCCCACAGCTGTTTGAGCTTAGCAGCTACTTTTCAGCAAAATATTCTTGTCTAGCCCTTAAGTCTAGACTACCAACTTATGAGGTCATGAGAAACAACCTTCCCTCCAGCTAATCACACAGGAAAAAAACCCAACCAAACAAAACCTGATCAGCCAATCATTCTGAAATTGCTATTTATGCTTTACAAAAATATCTATCTGCACTTGTGAATATGATATTTTAAAATTCTTGTTACTATTACACCATGGAGTCTGCAGATTTCTAGTTAGCAGTACAGTAATTCTAAATGATCATAGCTGTTCTTTCTAGTAGGATGGATAAAGAAGGAATAGCCCTCACAATATTCAACATAAATGCAACAAACTAAACAGGAAAAACTGGAAGTACAGAATTTAATCCAGCGCAGATTTAATTACGGAATATTGAGCCAGGCAATATCAAATTATATGCACTGGATAAAGAACATTAACATGGAGATACAACAGAATTTTCAATTCTGAAAGTCAAATAAATCTTTAAAGAAAAAAAACAACTTAAACTATTTAGCATATACCAACAGAATCAAAGTCATTAAAACCAAAACTAGAGCTATGTCTTTGGAAGTTTAAGGGATAGTAATATGGGAGATAGTATTACATTCAACACAATCACAATTACACTATTGTTAGTAATTAAAAAAAAATTCAATTGTCTTGTTAAATGCAGAATTTATTTGCATCACAGGTATTTTATATCAGGCCATAAAAACTGAAATGAACATATTTTAAAGAAGTAGTCCCTTCTTTACCCTCTGTAGGGACTATAACACTATTTTGAGATCAATTTGTTATATATATCATAAGAAAGGGTATTTACGGGACCTCAGATTTTGAGAGAAATTTTCTGTATTGTAACTGATAAACTGAGAGGCAATCGATTCATCCAGTTACATGAGCTTGGACACCTGTGTAAATAATTTCATTATAGTTAAGCACTTGCATTTCTTAATATTTTCATAGTTTGGAATAATTTTGATTGAATTTTCTTTATGGATTTTTAAGACATTTAAAATTACTGTTCCAGATGAGTGCAGATTTGAATATAAGTTTTGAACAGTAAGAAAAAGAGTAAGAGTGTCCTCAAAATCTTTGGATGCTTTACTAACACAGAGACTCTGGCATAACAACTGGTGAAGTCTACACCAATGAGCCCTTTGAAGAGGTATATGGCCAGGAGGACCTCAAAGTTACTCTAAACCAAAAAGCTTGTGTTGTCTGATGAGAACACAACATACCATATATCTTCTGGATGCCCTGTAAATCGTCATTAGGTAGTTTGAAGTTGTCAGTTTCCATATATTGGTAAAATGGAGCCATGATTGCAGTGGGATCATTAGAGTGCTCCAAGCCCAGAGCATGTCCGAGTTCATGAACTGCAACTAGAAAGAGATCGTTTCCTGTGAAGAGAAGGAAAGGAAAAAGACCTTTGAATCCACAAAGCTAGTAAAAAAATAACACACATTGAGAACTCTGGCCTTGCAAGATGTTTTCACTGCATTTCACAAGGTAATGCATAGTAATTAATGGATCATCAAGGATAATGTGGAAGAAAAGGCAGTTTTCTCTCTTTTTTTTTTTCTAACAATGAAACCATTAGGCTATAATGGTACTCTTACAGACATCATAAACATAAACTTTTTTAATTTATATACAATGTAAGTGTAGGGTTCAAGTGTCATAGTTTATGTCTAGGCTTTTGTGAAACTTGTGACTTGATGCTGCCATGAACCCAAGTAAAAATGCTTTCATCAAGACATAGTTCCAATAGAAAAATATCTTGGCTTTGGTAAACTTCACAAACTGAAGACTACCTATTTAGGATAAACCCCACAGAGAACTTAGTCATTCAAACACTTGTAATCAGATCCCTGCTGACTATATGTAGCTGTTGTCCATTTCTGAATCACTGTGATCGAAATCCTAACGAGGAAAATAGATGTTCTCATATATTCCCCTGTGCAATTCCTTGTAATAACTGTAGTTTTCTATTTAGGCTTTAGAGCTTTTTTAATTTTTATAGGACTAAAGAAAAACCCCAAAGCCATGCACTCACTACAAAATATAGACCAGTTTAATGTTTTTGTTATTCTCTTCTCAAAGTATCTTTAAATTTTTTATTACAGAGTATTAGATAAAACTGGAACATTTGGCAGTAGAATATGGCACTTTTCTGAAGCAAACACAAATGAAAGCCAATGGGATCTTTTCTAAAAAAAAAAGTTTCAGAGCTGGACCTCAATGGTAGTATTTCTGTCTTTTTTTGCTCATCTAAGATTTTGTTCTGCATATCTTTCTATGAGTCTTTCATACAGATTCTGTTGTACTTAACCTGTCACAAAATGAGACTTTGGAAAAGTGGTTCAGATCAGGAGGAATATTCCAGCTGTCTGAAAAGGGTCACATCCAGAATATGGCTCATTTCACCATGCAGAGATGGGAAGAACCATCCTCCAGAAGTGTGATCCTGTCCCACTGACAAGAGAAGTACTCTAGATCAGCAGGTTATGCTGACCATTTAATTTTTAAATGCTGAACTCATGTGAAACTGGTGTTGGCTATAGTAAGTAGCTTGTTGTTGAAAATATAAATAATGAAAGGCTTGTGCTCTGGCCTAATAGTCATATATTGGTTAGGAACATGAAAAAAATGCTCCACCTTAACTCTTATCCTATAAGCTTTAGATTCTTTAGAGATAGACAGTTATTTTTCACTGCTGGAACTTGATCTGGAAGTACTTTTAAAATGTCAGTGGTAATAATATTAAGTTGTATCAGCAACAAAATTGCATGTATATACATTATAGAACTTTGAGGACATAGTTGACAGTATTTCAATTTCTCAAGCATTTCCTCTTGTTGACACAATAAAATAAACTTTATCCAAAGCATATATGGAATAGGAAACACTAGATGCCTTCATGATGTATGAAGCCATGCTGATGTCTGTAAAATAAATTTTTGAATGAAATAATGAAAATAGACACAAGTAAAACTATATGCTCAGTTCACAGTCTTCTCATAACTTCTGATTCTTAATTTGAAAATATGACAACTAAATGTTCTTGATCTTCCATTCAAAATAACTGTGCAAAAAAATCGCATCTTTCAAAAATTAATGTGACATAATGTGCTTTTGCAAATGAGAAGTTTATCCTATCATTTATAATTATGTGTTTTCTGTATGAAATGTTTTATGACAATATTTTTCTTGGATGCAGCTCTTCTTACAGCAAAGCAGAATCTCAATGTGCTGCTTCAATAGTTTTGATAAGCCTGACTGTCCTGGTGACAAATGCTCTTGATATCTGAGTCTGGCCTTCCATATGCAGACAAAGCTGATCTTGACATCATCTCATATGAATAATACACAGTTTCTGGAGCTAACATCAGCATAGGAAGTGATGCACAGAAGGAACTTTGTAAAGGTTTTCATTCTGCACTTATAATGGAATAATTAATGTAATTTTAAATAATCACAGGTTGAAGATGGAAAGAAAAGAAGAGCATGTTACTGTACTACAGCTTTCATACTATAAGGAAAAGTCTCACATTATTTTTCAATTCTATTCTGAGTTTTGTGAAAGTTCTAAACGAGGCTTATTAGGAGGCAAAATTTCTTTCCCTGGTATTAACTTGAATATTTAAGAAGCAACATTCTTTTTCTTTTCAAACCTTCTGAAAGCAAATTTCTTTCCTGTACCTATGCTTCCTACATCATAACTAAGAATATTAACTAAGTCCTATATTAAAAATGCACTGACACATTGGCCACATTTTATTTACTGTATTATTCTCAAGTTGCTTTGAAATAAGAGTATTTATTCTACTAGTACCATTAGGCTTGTTACTGTCAGTACATGAAACAGTTTTTTACATGTTATACCTCTACTTTTTGAGGCAGGAAGTCTGGGAAGTTACCTAGTTATAATTTCTAAAATTTCAAGAAATTGCAGTTAATCAACAGTCTTGGAAGAGTCCACTACTTCTATTTGTGCCAGTTATGGAATACATGAAGAATCAATACATCCTTTGATTCTCAGTCCTTATTGAGTCCCCTTACAGATTTCCAGCAATTTCTACATTTTACTCCGTGTTGATCTGAAAGAGGTGAAATACATAGTAAAAGGGAAATAAATAAAACTGACTTTCAGCTACTGACATATCCTCTTTATGATAATGAGCATATGGTGGAGCATTTCTAAAGTAGTACTAAGGGACAGTAGGACCATGTCAGACAACATATATCATGCAGAGGCTGCCTGTTTCTCTTTTCATCCTTTGGATAGGGGAGATTATGTAAATAGAAAAAGAAGAAAAAAACAAACCAAAAATGAAACAAAAAACCCAAACAAACAAACAAAAAAACCCCAAACAACCAAAAAACCCCAAAGAAACCAACCAACAAACCAAGGAACCAAAAACCCCCAAACATTCCATTCAGTATCTGACTGTCCCTCTGGATTTAGTAATTTCCACCTCATGCAATACAATTTGTAACCATCAGGGGAGCCATTAAGTATGGCAAAGGCAGAACAGCCCTTGAGCAAATGAACAAGGGGGAAGGGAGAAGGTCAGAGGAAAGAGCTGGGAGAATAATATTCTTGCCTGGGGTGACAATGATTTAACAGGGAACATATTTTCTACTCGTAGCCAAATAGCCCCATTATTCATAACAATTTCCATCAAGAGTCATGATTGTCTCCAGGGCATCCTGAATTTGAACTGACCCAAATAACTTAGTGCAATTGAAACTCAGGTTTAAACCAGCCCAAGATGAGCTGAGTCCAGCACAGGTAGAGCCTTATTACTATCTGATTTTCCATCCTTTTTGCTTTGCATACGATTAGATTTCTCTAATTAGGCAACAATTATTCACTGCCTCTTAGCTTTAGGGATCAGACTTGCCCTGAGTACCTCAAAGTTACCGTAAAAATCTCCTGAGAGTGCAGAAGGACAACCTTCTGTAAGTCTTGCTCTTTTTCTCAAGGCTGCACAGAAGAGTATTTGAGACAGCAAGGTCAATGGTAGCCCATCTTCAATTCCTTGGTCAGTGCTCAGAATAAGCTGAAGTGTACAAACAAGTGAGCATTCATATTCAGGCTAGCTCTGCTATCCTATCCATACTGGGGAGTTTTTACATTTTCAGTTGCCACTGTTGAAGGAGAGAGTCCCAAATCATTTCGTATTTCAGAATACATTATCCAAGTAGGACATATTTCAGTCCACATGGCAAAATGAAGCAGCATCACAAACTTGAACAAGTCATAGCAGAGTTAAAATGCATATGGCTACAATGATTTTTAAAGCAAATGTTGCCACTGAAGATATACAATGGTGAGTATTCACTGTCACAGTCTCAGGTGCATCTTGTATACCCACAGAGTAATAGAAAAATATTGGAAACTATATTGCACAAGTCCAAAACTTGTGTGTCTCTATTCTTGTGTTCCCATTAGCACGGAGATTTGGAATAGAATGGCTGTAAACTCAAAAAGTTTGTGATTGTTTTTTTTATTTTATCTCAAGTCTGATTTCACAAGTGAAGAAAAAAAATATACCGTGTGTAAAGAGCTAATGTAAAATTATTATTTTTATACTGACACTTTTCTCTGAGGCTATAAACTATTTTAGGCACTAAATCTGCCTGACTTTACAAACACTGCCCAAACTCCAGAATATAAATATGTATTAATATATCAAATATTCAACAACCAGCAGTGTGGATCATGTTGTGTGGGGAAGCCTTTCCCTGTAGCTAATATATACACTATTTTTCACATCTACAGAAAAACAAAGCTAATATGTTTGTCCACAGTAAGCTATTAAGAAAACCTAGTTCTGAAGATAATAATTTCCATTTTAAATGGTATGTGAGTTCAATTTATAAAAGCAATAACTTAATGGCTTAACATGTGACCTCAATTTTGAAGACTTCTCCATCCCAAGGAAAAGAAAAAGAAACCCTAGAAACTGAATTTCAAGTTACAAACAATTGTAAAAATACAAAGATGCTTTATACATAGACATACACTTTTTCTTCCAAAGACTATTTTATTTCAGTTTTCATGATGTAGATAGATGTTTTCTAATTAAAGTCACATCAGACTGAAATTTAAATCTGCACAAGACTTCTATTATAGTCCTATTACAACAAGACAGTGTCTCAAAGGCAAACTTACAATTAGTCAGAAATATTACACACACACAAAATAGCTATTGCTTTTGGTTCGATGTTTGCAGAATTTTTATTTTCATTATTCTGTTCCTTTGTACCACCTGATGCATCCAAACAGCTGAAATGTTACAAACTGTAGAGTAAGAGCCTTACCCTACATAGCAAGCCAAACAAACCCCCACAAAAAAAACACACCAAAAAACCAAAAAACAAACAAACAAAA